AGAGTAGTGGGAGCTGTTGGTCTATGCACATGCCCTCCATCCCATGTGGGTTGGGCAGTTCTTAAGTTTATGCAGTGACTGTGGCCATTCCTACAGAGGAGGTAAGATATCCTGTTAGACGAAGGAGCTGTGATCCACGCTAATGCTGTCGGGCATTTCAGGTCTTGCAACAGAAGAGATCAACTTGGCCCTTTTCAAATGAGTGATGAGAGCTGGCTCACAGCCACCCTGCAAAACCCACTGGCAGTGGGACAGTATGTCAACAACTGCTCACATGGTAAGTTGCCAGGTAAATTTTCCAAGTATGAGTTTGGCTTTATGAATACAAATTATTTTTAAGGTGACACAGAGAATAGGAAATTGATCTGGGGGGCAGTAGTACTGCTTAAAACAAGCACTTAGGTAGTAAAACTTTTCTGAGGTTTTTTGTCACAGCTGAATGTTAGAATCCTTCCATGCAGCAACACTTCAAATATACTTTTTATTTTCTCACTGATGCCCCACTTTCCCTCCTGGTATATGAATGAAAGGCACACACCCAAAAGTGAGGTGGTGGGAAAGGATATCTGGCAAAGTACCACCAAGACAGTTTAGAGTTGCAGATCAAGTTTTCCAGTATTGTTCCAGGAGGCTTCATGAGAAAACTATACACAGTGACATGTACAGTAAGATTCTATCAATGCTCACTTTGAACTGCAAGACCTTTTTTAGACTTACGTTTATGCACAAAATCTAGGAAACTGTTGTTGTAATCGCACTTGTTGGACCTGAAGAAGGGAACTACTTATTCTGTGTCACTGTTGCTCTTAAGTAACTCACAGGAACAGTTGTACTACAGAGAGTTGAGTTGAATTGATACCATACTCAGCTTCTAAGTGGCTTTCATAGCCTGCATTGTGCTGAAGATTCTCTGCCTCCAAGTAGCATTCAGAAAGGTTGCTGGAGGAGCAAACTGGGGATTGGCACAGAGATACAGGGGTGTCCCACTAAACTGTTTCTTCCAGGTGATGTCTATGTAAGAGGTGATTTTCTCCCTGCCTGTATTTCTGACATGTTTTACCACCAGGCAAAAACATTTTCCAGTTTTTTTAATTGTAAAAGCAAACACTGTATTTGGAACTATTGGCAGTGCTGTAAGCTACCCTTGGCACTAAACAAGATGTGCCTCTTCATTGACATGTTGATAACTGGGCAAACCTCCTGTACATGATTGCGTACCTCTTGTGTAATTCAAAATAGGCCTTCAGAGGAGTGCAGTACCTCCCAACAGAGGAATGGTTTTCAGTCTTGGTGAAGCATCTGGTTCTTCTGTAGCAGCACATTTGATGTTTTTACACATCTCCTAAGCTCTATCTAATAACTTTTTTTTTTATTCCTAGAAAAAGCAGCAAACGTGTGTTATCAAGAGTTCGACGTGCCAGGACATTTTCCAGTAGAATTGAAACAATATCTTCCAAACATCGTCTACAGCCATGACATAGAGAGGTTGGCAGCAAATGAAAGAGCTCGTAGATTTGTATTATACAAAGCATACTGCATGTGTAAAGAAAAGACAGACATGGTTGAAAAATCACAAACCATATGAAGATGAGTTGCACAAAAAGTGTGTAACTGTATGGGAGAGTTACCTTTCTGAATAGACTAATTTTAATTGTGAGACTAATTTTTTTCCCTCATTTTCACACATGAAATCAGTGTATCTGAAGATACTTTTACAAGCAGTGTTGCACTATAGTGCAATTCTACTGAATCCCATAAAGCAGTAGTTGTGCTTTGTATTACAGTACTGAGGCTTTTCAGTACATCTCTCAAATCTGTTTCAGCCTTGACCAAAGCCCTTCTGAGATAATTCAAATTTAGGCTTCTTACTCTCTGTTCTCCATCTCTTCTGCTTATGTGACAAATAAGCAGATGAATTTGCAAGAAGAAACCTAAAATTGTATTGAGACAATACAGTGTGAAATACTGTGCAATACAAGGGCATATAGTTACAGTACAATTAGTAAAATTACAACATCCTGTTCATGACTTGAAAGTCCACCTTTTTTCAGAAATTAGAACACTTGAAAATATTTCTCAGATAATCCTTTTAATTTCAAGGATGTATAGGAATTTTAGAGTAGATCATCGGAACTTATAGTGTAATTCTGGAGTTACTTAAGTACTCTGACATTGGAGAAAGTAGTGGTGCATACTGGAAAAACGGCTTTTCTGATTGAACTTAGAGTTTCTTGAGTGAAGGTTAAAGGTGCACTTGGAATCTCTAGATAATTAAATAGTTCTAATAAAATACACAGTAAGACTAAATTCTCAGGAAACCTGGATACTGTACTTGAAGTGTGAAAAGCACATAAACTATAGGACTGCTTCAGGAAGGGGGAATTTTGCTCTTGCTTGGAATCTGTCCAAAAAATATGGTCTTCTGGTCATCATTTCTCCCAGTGTGCTGCCACGAGACAAAAGATCACATCTGCTTCTAGGTGCTTGTTTCATGCTGACAGCATAGATTATCTGGCTTCTAGATCTTTTTATGTCTTATGAAACAGTTCTCAGTACTTATCTACCTTGTTGTTTCAATATGTTTCAAAATGGCCTCATACTAAATTTTGAATAGTGGAGACTTGAGTTGATGCTGTTTTCCACTTCCTGGTTCATCAGTACGCAAAGCATGTGCTCTCCTTCCCAGAACACATACTTCAGTTTTAGGGCATAGTCATTCACTAAAAGGAAGTTCAGAGAGGTGGGTTTCTACATTTCTGTGTGAGGAATGGGCTGCCAGCCCCTGTTTTCAGCTGACTGAGGGAACTGGGGGTGTTTAGCCTGGAGAAAAGATTCAGTTTATCACTCTCTACAACTCCCTGAAAGGTGGCTGTGGTCAGGTGGGGTTGGTCTCTTTCACCAGGCAGCAACTGACAGAACCAGAGGACAGTCTTAAGCTGTGCCAAGGGAAATACAGATTGGATGTTAGGAAAAAGTTTTTCACTGGAAGGGTGATAAATGGAATGGTACTGGTATGGTTTTCCCGGGGAGGTGGTGGAGTCACCATCCCTGGATGTTTAAAAAAAGACTGGATGTGGCACTCGGTGCCATCGTTCAGTTGAGGTGTTAGGGCATGGATTGGACTCAATGGTCTTTTCCAACCTCGTGATTCTGTGACAGTTGACCCATCTGCAGATGGCAGCAGGTCTCTGGTGCAGCTAGGAGCCGTCTTCCTGGGTGGTGGTAGGCCTTAGGAGAGACGCTTTAGCCAGCTGGCACCTGTGGACCGGTGTGTCTGCAGGAGTGGCTTCTGCTGCATGAACTTTGCTGTAGCTTCTGTTCCTGTCTGAGTAAGTGTGTCTCTTACAGTCTTGACTAATTCTTTTCATCACTGAATGATTGTGTGGAACAAATGAGTGGAAACACTTTTTGCATTCCCACATAGGCTGTTGGTTTTTAAATTATATTGGTTTTCCTTATATTGCTGTCTGTATTCCAGTGTTGTTTTCCCATGTTCCCTGCCCTGCATTACGCGTATTTCTCAAAACTAATCTGGATGAGGCCACTGGTTAGGTTCTTGAAATGAAGAATTGAAAACAATTCAAAGAAAATATAACTTCACTTTGACATGTTTTGCTTCTTTTACAGCCACTTGAGGTGCGTAGTTCTTGTCACTCTCAGAGACATCAAGCAAGGAGAAGAACTTTTTTCAAATTACTACACTGTTGTCAGCTGAATTGAGTCAAAACTGAAGAAATCTGTGTCAATAAAATATGTATGGTGCCTGTACTTCAAGCTTCATCATCATTTTTGTGTAAGGGAGAGCTGTAGTTTTACCATCCAGAGAGCAAAACTGTAGGCTTGAATTTCTCTGAAAATGGTCTGTGTTTGATGCACAGGTGAAGATTTAACCATTTACATCATTAGGTTCTCAGATGTCTGCTGTTGTTATTTCTGTATTTTGGTGTTCAGCTGTCCATAAGGTAGTTCATAAAATTAAAACCTAAGTTCTGGACATGTAATTTGATCTACCAGATTGCACAGTTGTCTGTAACTGGGACTGTTGTAGTATTTTTCCATTTAATTTCCTATGCTTAAAATGGACACAACGTGTAAGAATGACTATCCTCTTGAATTGTATAATATATAATGCTAATCCTCATAGTTCACAGTAGTTACTAGGTCTTTTTTTTTTTGTTTTCTTCAAGTTGACCCCTTTGGCATCAGCTTGCTTTTAAAAAAACACGACAGTGCAGGCAGTTGTCCTAATCTTGTATGAAGCCCATTTTGGAGCCATGCTGATGGGCCCCTCAGCTGTACCTGCACAGTGCACTGTCATCTTGGGGCCATCTTGAGCCACTGGCTTTAGCTGTGCCAGTCCTGTGCCTGGCACAGGACTCCCCTAGTCCTGATTCCAGTGATTCATGACAAGTTTCCTGGCATATGGCAACTTCCATTGCTTTTATTCTTCAAGAGGACTTAGTTAATCAGTTGCTGGTATAAACAGGGCCCGCTATTCCCACATTAATTTTTGCTGCTGTCTGCAAACTGCTTTCAGAAAGATGAAACCAGTATTTAACTGCAGAAGTCCAAGCAAGCCTCCCAATGAATTTGTGGTTGGCATAAGCTCAGGAGAGAGGAGGAGCTGGGAAACTGTGCTGTTACAAATTGGGTAGTGGTTGGGGCAGCTAGGGTTCCCTGCTTAGCTGCTGAGGCATCATCTCCTTTTCAGAATGCAAAGCTTTGTGGTGTTTGCATTATGTGGTCTGCTTCCAAGCCTGAACCTTGCCTGTCACATTCGTTTGGAAGTCCTTTACTGCCAGAGGAGGCTGGCTATTTCAGCAGTTCACCAGCTGAAGTTAACCAGCAGAGCTCTGAGATAGAGAGCTCTGGCATCAGGCTCAGTGTGGGTTGTGCAAGGTTTGTGATGATGCTCAGGGCAAATTCTAGTGACATTCTTTGTGTCTTCACTGCTTGGTAAGGGATCAGAGCAGTGATCATCAGTCTGCTGAAGAGGGAATTCATCCTCCATGACTTCGAGGATCCCTTCTCCTGAGCTGACTCTTCTCCTCAGCTCTCTGTGAGGTTATTGGGACCTCTTGTGGAGGAAGCTGGGTGTCAAGGGCACTTGCAGTATTCCTAGTGTAGGGGGTGTGGTTCCCAGGCAGTTCACATGGCACTCTTGAAGAAAGAGAGCAGGAAAGGTGTGTGTGTGTTGTGTCTGTGTGCTGCTGCTTATTTGTCCCTTTTCCCTTGCTATTAAAGCTGCTGTTCTTTCCTAGCTACTGCTCATCAGACCCTCCTATGAGCTGATCTGACCTGCTAAGCACAGTAACACCATCTCCACCCCGTGCTTTCTCTGCTGTCTTGTACTCTTCCATTGCAGTGGGCTGAAGCAACTTATAGAAAACAGCTTATAGAAGGCCAGAGAGAGCCAGAGAGCAGGAAGCCCACAGGTGGCGTCAGAGTTGCTGATTTGACTCCCTGGGTCTTGCAAAGCTCTGCTTTCAGACAATTCTATTTCGCACATAAAGGTGATGCTGTACCTGCTCGACGTCTCACTCCTGCTAGGCTGCTTTGCTCCCCACTGCCCGTTGCTCCTCCCCGTGCCGGTTCTGGAGCTCACCTGGCAACACAGGAAGCCATGTCAGGAACGGCAGCAAGAGGGAATGGTGATGTTCTGCCACCTTAAAGAACTATGCATGCCAGGCCAGGCCTGTTGGCACAGCAGGCAGGTGTGTGCCAGCCACAGCAAAGGAGCGGGTGGGGATAAGAAGCCATGCTGCAGGGCAGGAGTGGGCCCATGGCTCAGCACAGTGAAGGGAGCAGGAAAACACATTTCTGCTGGGGCATCCTGGCCTCCTCCCCTATCAGAGGGACAAGACTTACTGGGAGCTTAAAATTACTTTCCCCTACAGAGAGGGAAGACAAATCCAAGAACTAGTAGAGGAAGTGTGATAATCAGGGTTTATGCTTGAAGTGTTTGCTGCCTTGCTACTGTGGACAAAACAAGTCAGTCGGTGAGGCAGCAGCAGTGACCGGTTGAGTAGATTTGGAGGTGAGGGTAAGGTCATGCTGTTCATGCAATCCCTGAGCTCAGCAGCACTTGAACAGCAGCCCCAAGCCCTGTCTGGACCCCGAAGCCCTGGGCAGCCAATCAGCCACTTTGCCAGGAACAGTGCAGCAGATGTAATCAGATCTAAGAAGCTTCAGCAACCCAAAGTGCAGTGAACAGGAACATGGTACAGCAGGATGACCAGGAAGGGCTCCTTTGACCATCTGGAAGAAGCCAATAGAGACAAACAGACTCAGTGGGGAAGAGCCACAAAAAGATCCTTTCAGCCTCAGTCTTATTAACATAAGCTAATATTAGCATAAACTTCAGTTGGGGTGTTGCTGTACCACAGTGCTCATTCCCCCGCAGCTGGTGGAGTCACTGACCCAGCCATGTCAGAGGCCTCCAGCCGGACAGCAGACCTGCTGATGACAGATGTATCTCTCCAGAAGTGTCTGATGCCTCTCAGGCTGGGCCAACAAACAGTGCTTTTGCAGAAGGTGTGCTGTGGCTGAAGAGATGTGTAACTGGGTGAAGGAGCAGTGGAAGAAGTGAACCAGTTAAGTATTTGAGTGAATGAGTAAGAGATTGACCAATTATTGACCAGTTATTTACAGAGATGCTACACTCTAAAGACTCTCAGGAGTCTCAAACCTCCATGGTAGTGGAGAAGCTGATGGACTCAGAATCCTGCAAGGTAATTAGCCAAGGGTCTGTTGAAGATGAACGCTGAAAGCAGGTCACTGCACGTACCAGGAGGAAGGCTCCTCCTCCTGAAAACAATTAGGATTAGCACTTGTTGCAACAGGTAGGAGGCCCTGGAACTAGAATACCAGACAACAGATGAGGTAGGTGAAATCCTTCTGGAATAGTGAGGCCTTGTAAAACAACACCGCCTGTACTCCACATCACAACTGTGTCTTTTAAGAGAAAATGAGAAAAAGAGAGGAGACTCCCTTCTAAGGACAACAGAGGGCTAATATGAAATCGGACCCAATGCACAGAGAAGTCTGCTGGCTCCCAGGGGCTCAGATAAAAGATGTTACTGGAAAGCTCTTCAGTCTAGTAAGGCTGCTTGATTACTATCTGCTATTGGTTGTTCAAACTGGCAAAGACAAAAAAAAAAAAAAACAAAAAAACAAAAAACCAAAACAAAAACAAAAACACAAGAAGTCTGAGGGCCATCAAAAGAGCCTTCAGGTCCTTGGAACAATTTGGAGTCTGAAGGATCAGGAGTACAGGTAGTGATTTCCTTGATTCTTACAGTAACAAGGAATAATATTGATAGGATGATGGACCAAGGAAGTCTCAGTGCCCTGAGCTGGAGGACCATGACTCTGAGAATGATCATCTCCCAGCTGAGCTTGTGTGGGTCCTGCTGCTCCAGCTGGATCCCTACAAATCTATGGGGTCTGACAGGATTCATCCTATCAGGATGGATAGAGTTCATCCATCAGAGAATCCTAAAAGAGCTGAGTGATGTTGTTGCAAAACTTCTCTCAATGATTTTTGAGCAGTCTTGGGAATATGGAAAGGTTCCATCTGACTAGAGCTGGAAAATGTCCCAATTTTCAAGAAGCAAAGAAGGAAGATCCCAGAAAACACAAGCTTGTCAGTCTCATTTCAATGCCCAGTAAAATAATGGAAAAGAGTATCCTGGAAAGTACTGAAAAACACCTGGAGGACAATTCAGTCACTGGGCTCAGCCAGTACAGCTTCATGCGAGGGAAAGTCCTGCTTGTTGAACCAGATTTCCATTTATGACACGGTAGCACATGAAGGGAAGCCAGTTGGTGTGATCCTTTTGGATTTCAGTAAAGCTTCCATTGCTCTCTCTCACTGTATCCTTCTGGACAAAATGTTTGGACAGCTGTGAGCTGGACAAACACATCATAGGATGGGTGAGAACTGGCTCACTGTCTGGGCACAAAGGGTTACAGTGAATGGGGTGGCATCAGACTGGGGACCTGTCACTGGGGGGTTCCACGGGGCTCCATCATCAGGCCTGTGCTCTTTGACATCTTCATACATGACTTGGACAAAGGATGAAAAGGAATACTAAGTTTGCTGATTACTAAACTTGGAGGAGCTGTTGACTCCCTTGAGGGCAGAGAGCCCTTAAAAAATTAGAGAGATGGGCAATCACCAACTGCATGAAGTTCAACAAGGACTGGTGCCAGATTCTGCAGCTGGGATGGGGCAGCCCTGGATGTACAGACAGACTGGGGAATGAGAGGCTGGACAGCAGTGCCATGGAAAGGGCCCTGGGCTTCTGGTCCATGGCAAGCTGAACATGAGCCAGCAGTGCCCTGGCAGCCAGGAGGGCCAAGCGTGTTGTGGGGGACATTGCCAACAAACTAAAAAAAGGGAGGTGCAGCTTGTAACTGAAGTGTTTTGAATAGATACTTTGTTTGCAGATTGTACTGACCATCATTAGAAAGACAGCCTTGTATCTCTCCATCAGGGGAAGCAAAGCTCATTTCTTGGCAAATTACAACTTTTGCTGTTTGGAATTATACCAGCTAGTAATCCTGTCTAATTAAAAAAAATAGTAATTTCTTTAGTTGAAGATTTACTGTGCCAGCCACCATAAAAACAAGCATGCTGGGTCTAGGAAAGAACTCCATTAGCTCTCTGGCATTTGACACAATTGGTACGTAAGATCTTACAGCTTTTCAGGGTCCAAGATTAGTACTTGTCTTCGGGGACTGGAGAATTAAGTCAAAAAGCATTTCAATTTGTTTAAGTTCAACATTAAGGGTTAAGCCAAGTAAAAGTTTTGTATTCACAGCGGTAATCTAGCTTGACATGGATTTTCTTTCCCCAGAGAACAGGTATGTGTTCCATACATCTTAGGTGTAGTCTGAACACTGGGTGACTGCTGCAATTGAAGCTACAATTCAGTCCCAGGTGACATTTACTTCACTTTAGCCATAATGTTTCAAATGTCTGAGGGAAACCATTACTCATTAGCTACCTGCTACTCTGCTCATTAGCTACCTGCATCACTGCATGCTGCATTTTTCACTCCTCTGTGTACCTCTACGCAGATGGTAGAATGTGCCAAGTTCTTAAAACCGCATTCAGAGTTACTGCTAAATTCTCTGGAAATGAAGTAGCAAACACAGTGCAGATGCATGAAGAGCTTTACAAATAAAGAAAGGTTTCCAGACATTTATTTCTGGAACTGTACACCAGGTATTAAAGTACAACAAATACAAAATAATGCTCAAAAAAATCAGTGTTTATGTACAAATATTAAAACCAATGCAACAACAGCGACTTCCTCTTGAACATCTGATACTAAAACATGTTCCGATTGTCACTTGATTTGTTGTTATGCACAGGGTAGTTACTTTTAACTGAGAATAACTGGAATCTCTGTTTTATTAGGAAGACTATAACCATTTCTACTTTATTGTACAATTGATAGCATCTTCCTCATTCTTTCAATGAAAAATAGGAATAATAAAAATAGTAACCTTGTCATTATCTTACAAATTACTGTATTTCATTTCCCTGTCTGTAGACGATGTGCTTGTAATGCTGGGCAAATAGCGTCCCTGTTGGTCAGTTTATCCATTAGTTTACATTCAAAGTTGAAATACTCATTAGAGACTTTGGTTAAATTAAGTATTATCACTGTGTCCTACTTGAACTGAAGTTTTCCTATATTTTTGACTCAGTTTCAACTGCACAATTCACTGACCTAATTGTACACAATTTAGTATTCTTCAAACAGTATTGTACATCCTTCAAGTAAATTCAGCAGTTTGACCATTACAAGAGGAAGACTAAACACTTAAGAACCTAGCATGGGAAGATGACGTGTGACCAACTGTGGTATTGCTATAATCACAGCACCAGTTACACTTCTACATGAATCTGCTACCCTCTTCAGATTCCCTGTACATAAAAAGAATACATTTACCAACACTGCAATTGCCCATTATGGATTTTTTGGTTTGTTTGTATGAAGAAAACACGTGGCAAAGGACAAAGAATTCATCACAGTTTCTTACAAGAATTGTGCTTCACTGTGTAATAGCCAAGGCATTGTAATTTCTTCACATGGTTGCAATTCAGTTATCTCCATGCTGACTTTCAAAACACAATTCTTTTAATAAACAGTAACAAGTTCTCCATTTAAATGTCAAAACTGAGAGAAAAAAGTAAGTCCAGCTTTTAAAAGTAAAGTTCAATAAATAGCTATTTTACATGGATAAAGTCATAGTGGTACAAATTTATGGATGTCACATCAAGCATGCACAAAAATGTTACTATACACAGAAGTAGTCAGAAAATATTGAAAGAGATATCTAAAAAGATATGAAGAATTTACATATTTACGAAATCTTGCAAATTATTGCCTCATTTTAACAAGGAATTAAAAGTAAACGATACCAGCTAGCTAGCCAACAGGCTAAATAAGATCAGCATTTATATTAGACTACCCGGAAATCACTTTTCTCTCATATCATTTTCTGAATTTTGGTCAAAGTCTTTATTAAATAACTAAAGTGTCCATTCAACTTGCTGACAACCCAAACCTTAGACAAGTCTCTGCCTACTTTAAGAGCCCAGCAATGCATAGATAAACTGAGTATATTACTGCATCAACTAATGAAAATGGGCATGTTCATTTAAGTGCAACTGGTATAAGCATTCAGTCATCTTTGTATGATTTTTATACAGACCAGCCATTCACTGTAAACCCATAGATAAACTTCAATGTATAACAGTGGAAGATTATGGCCAGAATTCTACAAAATCACTTAAAATGGGTTGATTTAAAAACAAAGGAAACAAGGTACAAAGTTCAGCACAAAACACAGCAGTAAGAAGCTGAGAACTTGGCTAAAAATGTCAAGAGTACAACACAGGGCCAGGGCTACCCATTATTTACTGTGTACTTACTAAAGTTAAATATTTCAGATGTTTAAGTTAAGAACTGATTACAAAATCATACCTACTTTTGTCCACTGTGCTAAGCTAATTTGTTTTTAATATGATAAATGTGCTATTGCATAAACACTTCAAAGCAATCTTCATTACAATGCTGTAAAGAAAACTCCAAATGCTGCATCTGAAACTTGGGATATCAATGCAGTTCACAGTATGCATAATAAATACCCTCTTCCCTTTCAAATACTAAAGTCACTACTTTCTAATTACTCAGCACAACCTTGAAGCAACTACTGAAAATATCAACAATGCAAACTTAATTGCCTGAATAATGAAAACAAATTAGTGGCAACTAAACTTGTAATACAAACAGTGCAAAGAAAAAGTATGGAGGGACAGGAGTAAACCTACTGAAGGGAGGTTCAGGCTTTCGTTAGAACACCATGCAAGTTGAATGCTACAACATGTCACAAGCCAATACTATGCTTGGTTCCTGCAGCAATTGGAACAAACATTTGCAAGACAAACATCCTGGATGGCTAAATTGCACTCAACGTTCAAAATAAAAAAATGTAATGAAGTTAAATAGTTGCTTTTATGGGATGGCTTTTTACTCATCCTTTCCTATTTGACACAAGAAGTGAAGTGCCATTTTGAAGCCAATGACTTGCCAAAATAAATAAATGCAATCCACGCTAAATCAAAGTTTTCAAGCATGTACTTCAAGGTTCTACTATTACTATATAAACTAGATAGTCCCTCAAAACTGTAACACTTAGAACTGCAGTGCTCCAAACAACTTAAGATGTCTTCCGAATGTAGACTGTTTAGTGGTAAATCCTAAGCTGTGCAGACTGTAGCTTTATACATCAGCTGCCTTAGGAAAGTTAAGGTACACGATTGTATTACTCTTCAAAGTTGTGGACAAACCTCTTCCAAATACAATATAGCCTAAAACTCATCTGTTTGAGCCAGTAAGTTTAAAAGTACACAGACATCTATGGCAGCATGATTACTTCTGTGTAAGGTAGCCATGACCTTTAATTTTGCAACAGCATTCAAGTGTAGATCTTCACTTTACTCATCTTAAATCCCTTGTGCTAGCTTCCACCAACATGAATTTGCTGCTTTGTAAACTGAAGTGCTCTAGTTTAGTATCACATGAGAGAAGGTTCCATTTAAAAAACATCCTTGTATGTTTGTGCAGTTTAAAATAAACAAACCCATCCCTGCCTTTATAAGGGGGGGAAAAAAAATGCTACATTGAGCAGGGATCAGGATCAGTACCTGTAAACATTGTTATTCCACTGCATCCATTACGGCAAAAGTAACTTACTAAAAAAGCCACTCCAATCCGTTCAGAACTTCTGTGCTGGTTTTGAAACGGTGGCCTCTGTCTACAGGCTTTAGGAAAAAAAACTGAAGCAGAGCTTAAAGCTGCACCACAGAGTTCTCTTAGTCCCAAACTCTGCCACACATCCTATGACATTTCCACATTTATGGACTGAAAAAAAGAAATTACTCTTGATAAATCAAGATATAGTTCTATACATACAAAGACATCACTGATGTCATAAAGTTCAAACTTCCAGTGAAAGACTAAGCAAACCTGATAGCTGTAGTAGAAAGCCACACACTCAGCAACTGTTCTGGTTCTTACCTGAAGGGCAATGAGAAGAATTGACAAGATTAATGCGAAGACTTAGGTTTTGTCATTTTCCCAATTCCCACTCTTCCAATATTGTTAGTTTTTATTGTTCTGGAACAAATCTTTCCAGACTTCAAACAGACCTATAGTTTCAAGTTTTACATCTGTTCTACTCAATGCACAATCGGATTTTTTTTTAAACGAGGTTGAAACTCTATCTACATCTGAAGTACTCAGACATATATATAAACATTTTTTAACTGTAAGATACACCCTTTCTTACAATGGAAAAATCTGAGCAAATGAATGATCTAAGAGTAGTGAAATACCAAAGACTCTGGGTATGTATTCCTTTGGGGAAAGTCCAGAACTGTGGGGGCTTTGGCAACAGAGTTGTAAAACCAGAGCAGTAAATGCTTAAACAAAATAAAATTGTAGCCTTGTTGAGCAGGTAGTAAGGACGGAAAAGACTAATTTCATCTACATTAATTGTTTGTCTCTTTCCCTAAAACAGAGGTGCTACGTGAAGTCAGATTCTTGGAGAAAAAGTCATTACTTCCACTTTTATATACTTTTTGATGCAGAAACATTTCACATCACCATCGCATCACCCACACTTCCAGTTTCACAACTCTATCCAATACAGTCTGGCAGTAAAATATTTGAGTGTTTTCAAACAAACAGAAACATCAGTGGTGAATCCAAAATACCTTGGGGGCAGTAGTAAACCTTGCTAGTTTCGGCAGACATACCAGGAAGGGGAGGAAATTAACAGATGTCCATATGTTAATGCATAAAGTCCCAGTTAACAAAGCTTTGCACTGCAGTGATAAGGAAACACATCTTGTAAATCTTGTCTAGCTGATACTTGCTGTATACAAGTGACATCACCTTATGCTGGATCCTAGAACTTTCCCTAAACTTTCTTGCCTTTTGCCTGGGAAAAAAACCCAGTAGATTTTCTTAGACAAATTCTGGTCCATAGTGACAGACACATCAACACGTGTTTTGTTCCATGTTGGAAAATATATTTTTAATCTCTGATGCATTAATGCTTATCGTTAAAGTCCATTTAAAATCTAAATTATCCAAATTATTTAGGATGGGTCAAGAAATTTGGAAACACTGATGATATCGACTATTGCTTTTTGGTAAAAATAACAAAAAGGCCTATTCTTCAGGCACAGAGAAGTCAATCAGAAGCAATCCAGACCAAGATTAGAACTCATTTTTGGCTTAGAAAAGAGAGTATTATGGATGACTATACCTTATGAAAACACAGAACTCAGCCTGATTCTGTACACTTGTACCCTCCTGGTGACAGAATAAATTAGGCAAAGATGCATTCTCCCTTCCTATAGCCATGGTATAGAAATACTGTTCACTTCTAGGAAAGGCATGAATTTAGATTGAATTGTGATGCATAAGCATGAATAGAAGTAATGTCAATTTAAGTGGATTTCAGAGATAACACATTAACTCATCTCACAATGCCTAGTATTTCCAACAACATTTGGAAATATTAGTGCAAAGAAAGGAAAAATTAATTCAAAATTGGAAGTTTATTTTAATATGGTTCCTACCTCATCTGTATGGCTTCTGACAGATTGCCTTCCCATAGTATCATATAATTTACCAACTCTTCCATTTAACTGTAAAATACTAACCTTGTTTTTCTGTATGAGATGGAAGTCTTTTCCATACATCAGAAGTGCATTTTCAAAGCTTCTGCATTCTTCTTCTGTCCATGCTGTCATCTCTTCTAGATAATTATAAAAGTAGCATGAGAAACCTGATTTCACTCAATAAACTATTACAAAGAATAAAAATTTTTTTCCTAACAGATTAATATCCAAATGCATTCTAAAAATAAAGTAATTCAGTTATTTAGATCCATTTTATTTCCCCTACTGAGAAACTATCCTACCTGAAATTTAACGTTCTTCTTTACAAAGAAGGATCTAGAAGAGTTTGACTTCAGAAATCTTTCATACTTGAAGGCAAGGGATATTTCAAAGATTTATAAGTCTTAATAAGTCTGTCATCAAAAAATAAGTGTTTTATAAACATCATTGAGGTGGTTAAGTGTGATAATTTTTCTCAATGTTTCTTGTTACACAGGACACAAGGAACAATGGTTGTTGGAAAAAAGAGCAAAGGAAAATCCTGTTTTGATGGATGGCCCTGTTCTGACTGAGTGAGCATCACAGACAGGAAGGCGTGACAGAGCTCAGCCCTGCTGTGCAAACCACAGGAACAGTGCTAGGCCCACACCCTCCCAGGCACTCAGCAGTCTGGGCAATGCCTTACCCAGGAGCCAACTACCAGCCTGGATGCCAGCCATGGTGCATGGCCCTGTAAATCACAGCTGAGACACAGGGTGGGATGAACTGTCATCAGGAGGGCAATTCCAACCTGACACTAACAGCCAAATGGATCCAGCATGAGACAGACCAGAACATACAACACCTTGCCTGGTATCATAAATCCCCTGGTGAGGTGAGGTAGTTTTTCAACTCCTGGAAAAAGCATAATGCACCATGGAGGAGAGTGCCTCAGCACTAAGCCTAGGTCAGGAAGCCATACAGGACAAACTGACTGGAACTATAGTAAACATGATCCGGGCTTTTGAAAAATAAGGGATATCAGGGAATCCAGAAAAAAGCCCCAAATAACCACCTGGTTCTAAAGAGCACAGATCTCTTCTAACCCCTTCAGATCTCTTAAGGAGAAACTGCAAATTTCTTTTCTCCTTTTTTTTTTTTTTCTTAATAATTAAGACTACATTTTCTAGAACTGGATTTTGGTTTGAGAAACAACAAAAATAATTCAAGACTCTTGTTAATATCTTGACTGTAGCTTTGGGTGTATATATATAAGTAAGTAGGGATTTTTCAGATATCTTACATTCATAATGGTGATTTTAAAAGTTTCCACTCAACTAAATTCCAAGTATCTCTGGAAGCAGACACTGAAAACTAGACCTTTCTGCTCCCAGATAAAAAGCAATAATCACCCCACTGCATGGCTGTTTTTTTCTTTCACAACCCCATTAATTTTGCGTTCCTTACTACAGAGTTCTCAGCTTTTGAAGAGGAGAAAATGCTCCCATGTAAAGTCTCATTGCTAAGAAACTTGCCTTGGAGTGGTGTGTTTTTGATTTCCACACTGAGAACAGTAGTGAGCTTCAGTGGGTAGAGTAGATCATAGTATAATGGCTATTTGAAGAGACAGACTCTGACAGCATTATAGAATCACAGAAACATTAAGGTTGGAAAAAACCTCCAAGATCATGAAGCCCGACCTTTGATCAAACATCACCAAGTCAACTAGACCACAGCACCAAATGCCTTATATCCACATGTTTCTTGAATACCCTTAGGGATGGTGATTCCATCACCTTCCTGGAAAGTCCATTCCAATGTTTAACAACCCTGTCGATGAAGTTCTTTGCAATATCTAATATAAACTTCCCCTGGTGCAGCTTGAGGCTTCCTCTCATCCTGTCACTGGTTTCCTGGGAGAAGTCAATCCCCACCTTGCCACATTCGCCCTTCAGGCAGCAGTAGAGAGTGATAAGGTCACCCCTGAGCCTCCTTTTCTCCAGGATAAACACCCCCAGCTCCCTCAGCTGCTCCTCACAGGACTTGTGCTCCAGACCCTGCCCCAGCCCCACTGCCCTTCTCTGCACTCTCTCCAGCTCCTCAGTGTCTTTCCTGCAGTGAGGGCCCAGCCCTGGACACAGCACTGGAGCTGTGGCCTCACCAGTGCCCAGCACAGGGGACAATCCCTGCCCTGGCCCTGCTGGCCACACCATTGCTGATCCAGGCCAGGATGCCATTGGCCTTCTTGGCCCCCTGGGCACAGCCTGGCTCATGTTCAGCTGCTGTCACCAGCACCCCCAGGTCCTTTCCAGCCACTCTGTCCCAGCCTGTGGAGCTCCCTGGGGTTGTTGTGACCCAGGGACACACTTGGCACTTGGCCTTGTTGAACCTCACCCCACTGGCCTCAGCCCACTGATGCAGCCTGTGCAGATCCTCTGCAGAGCCTTCCTGCCCTCCAGCAGATCAACACTCCCACCAAATTGGTTTTGCCTGCAAATGGCCTGACGGTGCACCTGATCTAGATCATTGATGAAGATATTAAACAGAACTGCCCCTAATAGTGAGTCCTGGGGAACACACCAGCTGGGTGTAATTCCATATAACACCATTCTCAGCCATACAGACCGCTTTACCCCAGCAAAGAGTGCCCTGTCCAAGCCATAGGCTGTCAGCTTCTGCAGGAGAATGCTGAGGAAAATTGTGTCACAGGCTTTACTGAAGTCTAGATAGGCAATATGCACAGCCTCTTCCTCATCAACTAGGCCTTACACCTCCATCTATCCCTTTACCATTTTAATGAGGGTATAACAATTTCACTTCAACTGGGGATGGGGTATGGGTAAGGACTAATAGTCCTTAAGATGGAATTTTGGCCTCTAAGCTGATCCTCAGATTTTAGCTTCTATATTTTTAGATTTTGTGCTGCTTTAGTGTGTAGTTCTGAGCTTCATATTAAGGGATGGTAAGCTCTCTTCACAAAGTAGGCAGATAAAACAATTCCTTCTCTAGCTGGGGACTAGAGACAATCAATCCAATCTAGGCCCAAGAGAATAAACAATAGCAGAATGAACAGAGGAAAAACAAGAAGGATGGGACTTCACAACCTAAACCTATAATTGGATAATAAACTCCAATATGCAAATGGACCAGAACTTGTAAAAGTGAGAAACATCATGACTGGTCGTGCATTTTGTGACCATTTTGGGTACATCTTGTGTGTAACCCTGGATGGGCTCTTGTACTGCCCAATGTGTATCCATTGAGGCCTTCTAATAAATACCTACTTTATTCTTTAACCTGTCTAGCCTCTGTTCCAGGTCAGCCTTCACAAGGCTTCAAAGACACAAATCAACAGAGGTATTTTTCAATTCTGAAACAGGAATCTAAATTCCAGAGAGGTACTGGATTTAGGATACAGCAGCTGATACTTTAAGGTCTACACAATCTCTTCTTGAACATGAGCTTTTTAAAGCATTCTTCTTATAGTCCTTATTGCCCCCTTCAGCTTGACCTTAGTGTCCTGATTTTGGCCGAGATAATTTTCTTTCTAGTAGCTGGTAAAGTGCTGTGTTTTGGATCCCATATGAAAATAATATTGGTAACACACTGATGTTTTAGTTGCTGCCAAACTGTGCAATTAAGGACATTTCAGTGTCCTGTGCTCTGCACTGATCAGGTGCCCCTGAGGCTGGGGGAGCAGGGCCAGGAGAGCTGACCCCACCTGGCCAAAGGGATGCTCCATGCACAGAACAACAAGGCCAGGGTGTGAACTGGGGGGAGCTGGCTGGGATGGGCCAGGAGCTGCTGGGGGATGGGCTGGGCATCGCCCAGCACGTGCTGAGCACACATGTCACTCGCCTCCGTGGGGTTTTATTCCTCTCTCTTTCCCTTTCATAACAATTATTATTATCATCAGTCTCACTAGTATTCTTACTATATTCTTTCCTTTGTTTCAATTATTAAACTGTTCTTAGCTCAACCCCAAAGTTTTACTTTTTTCTTCTAATTCTCATCTCCACCAGGAAAGGAAGTGGTGGGGCAGAAGTGAGCGAGCAGCTGTGCGGTACTTTAGTTGCCAGCCAGTGTTCAACCACTCAGACACCTGTCCCTCACAGCACCTAAACTGCTTACACTCAGCTTCCCTTTGGATCTCAGTAGAGGGCTATCTGCCAAAATATCAACTTATAGCAGAGCTCATAACCCACTTCGCTTCACACAACACACATGCAAAAATAACGGACAAAATCCCATCTTTGTTAAATGACAGACTCTGGTTTTCATTTAAAGGATTAATAAATAATAAGGACAAACAAGACGGAAGCCCATTTTCCAAAGCAAACTCAAGGAAAGCTCTCCATGCTCTATGGAACTATACAATAGAGCCCATTTAGGGCTGGCACAGCACAAATGTTAGCACAGAGTGGGGGCTTATTTATGTACCAACCTATATTCTGATTTTGGTACAAATATTATCAGACTGTAATCAATCATGACCTCAAAGAGACACTAAATAGTGGGTGAGAACTTCTTCATAGCAGCAGAATCACATCTCTTCCCCACCCTCCTCCTCAATCTGTTTCATTGTTATAGTAGCTGTGGAGGAAAGAAGGGAAGATCAAACGCAAATCCTCAGCCTTTCTGCAAACTGCAAACTTCTGTGGCAGAACTTTCAATAGGCCAACTGCCAGATTATACCTAATTTGTGCTAAAATCATCATGACAGAAATGTGATGATAATGTGAGTCCTACTCAAGGATATTCCACACAACTTTTTTTTTTTTTTTTAAACCACACTTTTCTGAAAAAACAGGTATTCTCTTACCCTGAGAGGCCTTTCCATTTGAGCAGTATCTCTCAATTGCTTCTTTAACATTATGGCTACTTTTAAGAAGTTCATAGAGTGCCTACAAAATAAAAAAATTCTTTAGAAAAAGTCAAAGTTTTCTAATATCCAATCTAGACCTCCAAAACTAGTCTTCCAGTGAACATATCTAGTGTAAAAAAAGATAGAGGATTTATCTTTACATATTATGAAAATTTAAAAATAAGAGCCAAAACCAAAACCACCCAAAAGCTGAGGCAAGATTTAACTAAAAAAATGTAAAACACTATATGCAATTATTAAAAAGGCTGAATTTGTCAACAGTATGACAATCAGAAACATCATAGATCACAAGGCTGCCAACATTCAAATACTCAAGATTTTTAAACATGTGCTTAAAAATTTTAAGTAAGATCTTGACTTCATAATATCCAACACTGAGTAGCAGTGCCTTTATAGTACAAAGCAGAGAAGGAGACCACATATTAATTACAGAGTGCTGTGTCACAAATGGAATAGGATATAAAACCTACTTGTTCATTGTCCCGTGTATGTAGTCCTTCAGGAATTCTGCCAATCATTTTTTCATTTCCTGTTCTTAAGGAGGTTTCAAAAAGGTATTCTTTAACTTTACTTTCTGAGATCACATCAGGTTTCCAAAGTAAATGGTCTTCATTTTCATAAGCTGATAAAACAGAAATCCATTCATGCCATGTATAACATTTTTAAGGTGTAACATTAAAACCTATTTCACAAAGAACAGGAACACAGAAGTAATCAAATCAAGCATGACCATACCACTTCTAAACTGCAGATCACTTTAGCTATTTAGTAATTTTCAACTGAAATTTGCAAAAAATTATGTAACAAAATTGCAATCTACATGGCAATACGTTTTTTCATTCAGTAGCAACTGAATGCTGTTAGGAACTTGGTATGTTGAATGCTTCAAGCGATTAGGATGTAGTCCTCCACAGCACATTGAAATGACATTTCCAATTCTCAGATAGCTTATTTCAAGGATGATACAACACACAAGAGCTGACCTGAACCTTGGTTAGTCTGTGCACACGTTTCAATAGTAGATTAACCTATAAATCGTTTACTCTGATCAACAGATGTGATTACCATTGCACATCATGTTTTATGTACTCTTTTGGCAATATAGAATTCTAATGGCTGTTACAGCAGAAAAGATGGAGAGGTTCAAAGCTCTCCTAAAACTGCAGGAAACAACATTAGGCTAAGGTGAAGAATAAAATGACACCTCTGAAAGTTCTTTAAAGGCTTAACAACACAGAAAGCTTTCAGTCAGACATGTTTCAAGTGTAAAGTTTATATGAGTGCAGAACTGCTTTCTAGCTCAATTCTGGTAGCTGGACTGCATAGCACAAATGTAAGCCCCTATTTGCCACGACTAGTTCTTCCAGGCGTACAGAAAAGGCTTTAATTTCACCGTCCAGTCCTACTACCAAGCCCAAGCTTCCAGAGTGCTGGTGATACTCCTCTTCAGTTTTCATTATCAACCAAGACAACGCAGTGCTTTTTGCTGGAGACCATTACTAATAACCTCAAAAGGTGCTCCTTGAACTCTCTGATCTGGCAGCTACCCCTTTGCTCTTGGCCATGCTATCAGACAACACTTTCACTGGTTCTCTCTACTACCAGCTCATTACCGAGAAAATTGTCAGATTCACCCCTCCTTGGTCAACCTTTGGTTCTAAGAACTTCCTCAGTTCTTGGCTAAGGATAAGTCAAGATGTGGAAATAGTTAAAGAACTACCTACATAAATCCAGTCCTAACTCCTCCACTTCTTGCAACCCACTAGCACCATGCTTGAATCTTAAAAAATTGGAGGCTTTCCTAGATCTTAATCAACACAAAGATGTTCACTTCCTAACACTTCCAGCTCCATCCCTACCAGACATTCTTCTTCTCTATGGCAAAGGATTATTCCTCAAAAGAGCAGGTGGCATTGTTGAATAGATTCAATGCAATTCACTCAATAACATCCCCCTTACATTTTAAAGAACCCTACAGAATATCAAAAATTTACAGAAAAAAATCACAGAATGTCTTTCATTTATTATTACATCACCTTATCTGTTTCTTAATTTCACAGCTGTTCCACCCATGAGCAAATTTGTTTGCATTATTTGCCTTTTTAATTTCACAGCTATATGTGCTATGTTTCTAAAGAAACAAAACTATTAAATAAGGCTCTTTTTTTCCACTCTACCACAACTGCAGTTTTTAACCTAAATTTGCACTGGAGTAACATCATATTTAAAACACTTCATTTTTAAGAGACAGTGTAACAGGAACTATACAAGGAAATTTAAAATAGCTTATTGCTTTGTTTTCCATACCAATTTTGTAACCCACATTTTACCTGCTAAAAAAAACAAGCAAGGAAAGACACTGTTTTGAACAACTTCAGTGTAAACTAAGTTACATGCTCATAGACAGCTACGATTCTCCAACAAAAGTAACTCCTACAGTTAGCTGACATCTGATATTACCAGACACTACAGAATTAAGCCTCTCATTTTGTCGTAAGAATGCCCTCTCTAAGTTGGACAGTCACACTTCCAAGGTGTAAGTATACAGTTGTGCTACTTCAATTCTCTACTACCTTTTTTTAATGGTCTCTGAGACTTCAGCTAGGTAACTGAATTGACCTAACAAATTTAAGTAACATTTTTCCATCAAGAGCTATGTATAAACATAAAATAAGACGTAAAACAATTAGAAGAACATACCCTTTTCATCATCACTGCATCTGCCAAGGTAAGCTGGAATTTCAGCCTGGTACTGTGAACCAACCATTATCTCCTGAAAATGCAATAAAATTAAGAGAAAAAGTGATCAACAATATTTTGTTGATCCAAGTATAAAAAACTTCATTAACCTGGCATCTGACATAGAATTCCTGAATGAAGGTACAATTTTAGATACATACTAAAAATGTTACTGGTTTTTTTTAACAGCAAAGTTCTAACTTTTAAAAAATATAATTATTACCTTTCTCAAATCTTCAGATGTCAGATGAATTACCATTGTCTGCCTCTACATCTTCACCATCAGATTCCTTATCTCCATCACATGTGGTGTTTGCTTCAGAAACAAAGGAGATTGCTTTTAGCTATGAAGAATTTTCTGTTCAAGTATAGAACTACAAGTTATCATTTATTTTTGAAAGGAGCACCTGCTTTTATTCAGGGAGACACTTATTGTGCATCTGTTGACCCAGATTTCTACCAAAACCAAACTAGAATGAAGTCAGAACACACTGGTATTTGTATACTGCAGAACTGAAACATTTATCATCATTGAAAATTACACAATCTACTATATTTCCAACCATCAAAAGGAAACAAAATTTTTTTTGGTTGATTTTCTCAATAAAAGCTTCTACATAGAGAAAAACCAGAAAACTTCCAGGGCTATGACATAGCCTCAGGTTAATCACAAAGAGAGTAAAGCTGAAGGCATGCCTTTATTACCTACTAAAACCTTTCAACAGAAGTTTTAATGGGCATTCACAACATTCCTTTAAACCAGGCTGCTTTAGCACGGAATGAAGATTACAGGAGAGACATACAAAATGGAGTAGGTAAAACAGAGCAAAAGACTCCTTATTTCTCTTATACCTTTTTTTTTCCATTCCCTTAGGAAGAAATATAGCAGAGCCCTCCAAACAATTTAAATACATTACTCCATAGAATAACTCATATATTAGAATCTGGAACGCTGTGGCACTGGGTTCTGAAGCAGTTCTGTTTTTATAGTTGTATAATCCCCAGCAGAAGGGAATCTACAGTTGTGATACAATTACACCTATTTTGTATTCTCCAACTTCAGGAAAAACATACTCCTAAATTGGGCTGAAATTTAACTTCATCGCATCTAAAACATCATGAACATCAGAGACAATATCCAAGACTGCATGGACTGATGGTCTTCTTCCATAGTAATTACTAAAATCAGCAGTCTATCACTTTTTGGTTTTACAAGTAGCAAGCAATGGGATAATCTGAATGGATGGAACAATATGCTTGGACAATCAGGCAATTGTTTTGCCCAGTTAACGTAAACTTAAGGAAACAGTCCGTGTTATGTATTAGGTAATGCGTATCTTAAAAATTAATGTTATCTTAGAATGTGGGAAATGGACAAAGATCAGAAAAAAGACGGAACTGCCAACAGCACAGAGAACTGACATCTCCTTCCCTGAAATGGTGAATACTTGACCTTAAAATGTCCAGCTTAATGTTCAAATAAAATAACATTTTGAAATAAAACCATGACAGCAGAGAACAAAGATGACTGTTTCTTAATCCTCAGTACAGATGAGGGGCTAAACACATTTCTCTACGAAGTTGCCACACTTAAAATGTCATAGTCATTAACAGTTCCCAAGTGCCAGCATGTTTTGGAGTTTGTTTAACTGAAAAAGGGACATTACAATTTTGAAGGTTTTTGTATCTCTCTTTCAATACGAATGTCCTGCATTTATCAGACAACAGCATGCAAAGGACTATGATTGCTGGTAACTGAGGCAGCACAATCCCTTTATTCCCCCCTCTACAAAAATGAAATCCCCCACGGAATATCTTAAGATATTTGCCAAATTAAAACTGTGATATAAAGTCCTCCACACTGCTCTAACTCTAGGATACCAGTAAACAAATGAGATGCAACAGGCAATGAGGAATATCTCATCCAGGCTGGATAACTGAACCACTGGCTTTTTCCCATCACAGCTCCATGGATAGTGAAATTTTGGTGGTCATGGGTTTACGGGCCCCATCCCATATAAAACTACTTTGGCTCACCCCAAGAAGTCCTATGGAAAAGTGCTGAATAACACTTCCCTTTATTAGTGTTAGACACTGCGTCCCAGTTCACATCCACAGGCTGCACGGAGGAGTCACTGGCTTAAAAGCAGCAGCAAAAATTTTAGTACAGAAACACTAATTTAAAAGAATGGGTTACATGTTCACATAATTCACTAACATATCGAAAATCATGAAGGGTGTTCCTCAATACTGTATTAATGATTGACTATGAAGTCATTGTATTTATAGAGAAATGAATTTTACTTGTGCTTTGAGCAGACAACCAAATGTAAGTGTTTCAGGTACTCAGTAATGCCAACCAAAGGCACTGTTCATGTACAACATGCAAAGCGCTGTTTCTGAACTCCTGGTACAGTGAGCAGTACTCCTCAATTTTGGTATTTTAAGGTATGAAGCTATATATAATGCTACAACTTATTATAAAATTATGTTTCCTACATCTTAGTGGCCGAGGAAAGAAGTCAGTAGCCTCGTGTGAAGTAACTGATGGTGTCAAGTCATTGGTGTCAAGTCATCAGCAGAGGACTGCGTTTCTTCATCATCACCCGACAAGAGATCTTTAGCAATTTCCTCCTGTATCATTAAAATAAAAAAAAAAGAAACCTCAGAGTGACTAGAAAATACAGACTGATAAGCACTTAGATTCAGCCAGTTGTAAGCCTGATTAATGAAAATGAGTTACCTTCCCATAAGAAAATGTAGCACACCATACTCCTATAAAGAAAAAGCTGGTTTGCTCCTATTAACTCTAAGAATATAACCTTTCATGTCAGAGTCAAACACAGTCATTACCCTCTGTCTTCTTTTAAAACAAATGCACAAGAATTAACTTCTGCAAGTATCAATCCCATATGTTCCTCCAACTGCTTCTGGTAAGAGACACCAATGTAAACTGCCTCATGTACTTAGTATTCTGTCATTCTTTGCATCACAGATATACTGAAGCTTTAAAAGCCTACTACTGCCTCCTAAACTCTGGGGGAAAAGCCAACCAACAAAAAAAAAAGCAAAAACCCAGCCCAGCTTTTTGTAGACTTTTGCCGAGAGGATACTGCCGAGATGTTCTAGGTAACAAAACACCAAAAACATCTGACATTTTCGTAGGTTAAAGCAACAATATTAAGAAAGAAAAGGCACATTTCCTACATTCGCAGACATGTTTGAACTCCTCTAACAGAGATTTGGAAGGGAAAGAACTGTATTAGACAACAATCCGACTACATTTTTGTAGCCTCAACACAATCATCACTCCTAATGAGAATCAGATGTACAGAGCCATCACTATATCCTCCTTTCTGTGGTGTTTACCATTACATCATACTCACAGGAAAAAAAAAGACATACACTTACTACTTGCATACTTTTTCACCTCAACTACAAGATGCACATGCTTTGTGGCCAAAAATCAGAACAAAATCTCAGAATTTAAAGTTAACTTGCAAACCACAAAAGCTGAAGTTTCAGGGTTTTGTATCAGCAATAGTCACCATACATAAAACAATCTCTCATCCCCCATGGCTGAGAACTTTCTAAAAGATATACATTTGAAAATAAAATTCCAAAGCATTCAAGAGTAAATTTTCAATGGTATTTTTCATACCATTTTTGGTACTTGATGTGTGGTGGAAGTCAGAGTTATTTCTGGACATTGCATATATTATCCAAAAATCCCACTTCTTAACTAAAAAAACTAACTAAAAACCCCAAAACAACTAACAAACCTCCTACATAAAAGTTCTTCACGTGTGTTTTAGAAGAACTGTTGAAAATATTTCGTTTTCTTTTGTACTAATATAGTGACACTAAAGTTGCTGTACATCATTATCAGAACTAGATGCCCAATGTTCTTGAAAAGGTAAGATCCCAGAGTGATAATATATATCAAAATTAACAAAGATATGTATTTTGTACCATAAAGAGATTATGATATGTAATTTAAAGCCACCTGGATTTCTGCTTTTAAACAACAATTCAAGTGAAAATGATTCTGACTTACTTTATCTAGAGTCATATCTGGAAGTTCATCTGCAAGTTCACTTGGAGAGCTATTCGCACTGGAAGCTGGCATAACTGGAATCGTGGGTTCATAGCCATAGAATGCTAGTAAATCTTCCAATGGCATGTTTCCTTCCTAGTACAAGAAGATTTACAACACTTCAACATATTGTCAATTACCTGTAAACAGGCCTAAGAGAATAAGACATATTCTGAAGAACAGAAATAAAAAACAAAGAAAAACTAAGCTGAAAGCAGGAATGATTAAAGGTTTAAAATATTGTGATTCTATGATAACAATAATTCATAAACATGTCTCTTGGCATATAGTGAAGTCCTGTCAAGCTGCTGGGGAAGACATTTTACTGGATGCAACTAAGGAGTAAGTATTAAAAATCTGCTCCTTATCTGATTGATACTGTAGAACATGATTTGACACTATTTCTTCAAGAGAAATATAGAAAACCTTGAAGACTTCATTCCTACATAGCTACAGCTGCACATGTGAAAACCCCCACAGAAGTAAACCAATACAGCAACTTCTAAGCCCTTCCTTTCACCTCCTGCACAATGTATTTTATATTAACCATTGAGAATGAACAAGACAAAGACAGCCAAGAAAAGGCAAAAATCAAGAGAAAGGCTTGATTTTTAACTTGTTTTTTCCAATAGCTTTTGATGAAGTGATTCTAATAACTACCATCATACTTGCATCCTAATACAATTAATAAAACAGTGAAGATTTTTTTTTGTTACCTGGGTCAAGACATCAGAGTATGAAAAATATTTCCAAATATTTACACCTTTAGAAGTTATACCTCTAAATTTTATTGTTGAACTCATAAACTGATCAAATTCCTCTTTTTTCTTTATCCAGGCAAGGTTTTAGTCCTGTAAAGACTTTTTACAATGGCTAAATAGAAACTGACGTCCAAGTCTTTCCAGGATAAGGACTTAAAGCAATAAAGTGTTTAAGGTGAGTGTCTCTCAGTTCTTCTTTCTTCTATTACAGAAGCAGTATGAGAATCTTGTTGAGTAAAAACTCCATTTTAACCATCAGACCTGGCAAACTGCTTCACTACTGTAACAGCAAGCTCATGATCAGCAAAAATGTAATTGTAAAGGCAGTAAGGCAAGAAAAAAAATCAGGAGTACAAACACTGTAAACTCCACATGTAGAAAATTTGTTTTTACATGGACTACATAAACACAGCCTTATATCTGATGCTAAGAAATACACCTTTTCAGAAGTATGTTCACCAAGACCTGCAGTTATGCCGAGTGGTGTAAGTGGGTTACCTAAGAGTAAGGCAAATAGCATCAATTTCTTGCTGTTCAGCAGATTAGAATGCTTGCTACACTGCTATGGATGAACAAGAGGTGTAAATATGAAAAACTTCTTACTAAGAAGTGTAAAATGGAATAGAAAAAGCCAAAGAGCACACTGATCATTTTGTACACCCGCTGAATGCTAAACTGATCAAACTAAGACATGGAAATACTATTCATATAGCAAATTAACGTGCATAAACCATTATGCACAAACCAGCGTTGTTTGTCTGCATATTGGAAAAGTAAAACCTGACCAACATAATGAAACAAAGCTAGATGTCATTTTAATAGTACGCAAAATGCACGGTTTTAATGTACAAGTGATCTTAGATAACAGGCCTCTAAAACCTAAGTCAGTGATTTCTCTACCAAAGCAAATGTGCTAAATCAAAGAAAATATGAGCAACAATACCTTTAAGAAGCTAAGTTCAGCCTTTTCTGTGATGATGCACTGCCACATCCTAATCTTTCATACAAGCTGCAAATGCATTTTTGCAGAAAACTGCACTATACAACACAAATTGAAGGGCAGGTTGAATGTTATTTCACTAGAAAAGTTACAATATGTATGAAAAGTAAAATATGTATAGAAAAGTACATATAAAATATGTATAGAAAAGTATAATATGTACACTCACAAGGGAGAAAGTCTCTCTTACCTTTTCTAAATCTTCAATTTCAGAGCTGAAATTTTTGCTTTCTTCCATCATTTCCTCTTCTTCGAGAGTTCGCTCATCATCATAATCGTGTACCAGCATTTCAGCAGATGGGTCAAAGTCATGATCCTCAGATGATAAAGAGCCAACTATCAAAAAAAAACAACTTAATTTGAGAATTTTTTTCTCCTATACCAACATAAGAAATTAAATCCCAGCAAAAAAATTTGCATTAATTCTCTTACAAATAGAATCAGAACTCCCAGCGGAATAACAAATTCGTAACTACTTGACAAGTTCAGCTTCTTTAGATGACCTTTCCTTTTCATATTTTTAAGTAATAAGTACAGCTTTCCCTCTTGCTACAAACAGAATAGCAGGGAGAAGTAACTAAAGGAGTAAAACTAAGTTTCAGGAAATACAACCCCAAATTAATATTTTACTGAATAAAAGATTGTTCAAAACACTCTTGAAATCATCATTAAGGTACAAAGCACACACATGAAAAGATATCAGAAGCTGCAAGACTGTAATCTATAGATCCTGATTTTATTGATCTGATTTATATGGTAACAAGCATAGTTCTTCACTGGCAAACAGGTAACATAGGTTATGAATTCACATCCTACTAATAGCAAAATAAAGTGAGACTCGCTTCCAATTGCTTTAGCCTCACAAATGGATCTTCTAATAAAATTAATTTGTAGCACTAGATATAGAAAAATAAACACAGCAGAATTTCAAGAAGTACTATGGAAAATACACTAAAAATAACAAAATGCTTCTGATGGATCACATTAATTAACAACCAAGTGTGACACCTCCGTGGTCCATCAGACACTTTTTAATTACTGAAGACAATACTCAGAAGTAATCAAAAAAGCACTATTATAATGCACTTTGTCATTTGAAAGATTATCATTAGAGTCAACCAATTTTCAAGACGAAAATATTCTGCATCAGTAGTCAGTGTTCTATGGTTAAGAATCACCAAATTACAGAGTTGTTTTGCTCTTTAATGTTTACTTCTTTATAGCTTTCAGGTTGGAGGAAAAAGACAGATTAGTATATTTCTTTTCCACTTCTAGTTTCCCCTTACATACTAGGAGTCTGTTGCAATCCTTGCCTTTCAAGCATCAAATAAAAGGTTTATCAAGAATTCTTTCTGCCAAGGAACTTCTTCTAAAGTTTTGAAAGAAATAACCACAAATTTTCAACCCTCTTCAAAAAATAATACAATATTCCTCTTTGCACTGCTTTCAGCCTTGAGACAGCTGAAACACTTCTGAACCATAAAGAATGCAACTGTTCATCATTTATGCTAACTATTCATTCTGTATATGCAGGTAACTGAACTACATTCAGTTTGCCTAAGACAAAGCTGTCAAAGTTTGTAATATCACACTGTAGAGAAACATTCAGGCCAAAAATGCTTTTTATTCACATGCTATTCATATTATGGTCTCACAGAACTTTCAGCATAGCTGACAACGCTGCTACAGTTCCAACAATGACATTATGTGTTTAATCCTCCTCCTGTTGGCCATCACATCGTGCTCAAGTTTTAAGAAAGTATCAACTGCCTTAATCTAACATGAACATATAAGGGTGTGATCAAGACTATTGCTTCTAATTGTTTTTCTAACTCACTTTCCATTTAACTCAAGGGGAAGTTCTGTTCCACAGACTTCATTAAAAAGTCCCACTTCTCCTGTAGTTCTGAATGTTTAATATTGAAAAATACAAACTCAACAAATTTCATAATAATTAAAGATGATGACAAACACTGCAGAATGCATTTACATAGAAGCAAGTATCTTCCCCAAATACTTGAGAATAGCCCTGCTGATGTCAATAATGCTTGGATGTATAATGTAGTCCAAAGAACCTGAACAGCATTTAGTTACAGCCTTAAAAGTTACTTGTTGTTATGATTTTAAACATTTTCTGTTATTACCAAGAAGTCAAAAATTTAGACAAGCCTGTAGTTATCAGCAACAAGAGAAGCTGTTTCTCTTCAGGCTATCTGGCTTTACTGAGATGCTGACATAAAAGTGCTACACAACTCTGATTTCATTTTTGGTTCCAAGGAGCCAATTTCTAACTGCAACTGCACTTAAGTAAAGGATTCCATAGCCCACATCTCCTCTTAAAAACCTGGCAGGCGGTTAACAGCGTGCACACGAAGCCTTAGGAAAACTACGAGGGGATAAATTTGGGAAGGAGCAGCAAGGAGAGAACGGCGTGCAGGCGACAGGCCGGGTGCCGATGCAGAAGGTGGACGAGGACGAACCTGGGCTCGAACTCCCAAAGGAAGCCTGCAGGGAAAAGAGAGAGCGAGATGAGAGCGGGCTCCCTGCGGCCCGGCAGCAGGCAGGGCCCTTCATTCCACGCAGCCGTCGGAGCTACACCGTTTCCCCGACACCCCGCTTTTCCCCGCTCCCCTCCAGTCTCAGCCCCAGCGTCCCGCCCTGCTGGCCGCTCCATCCCGCTCATCCTTGCCCATCCCTCCTTCCCTCGCTCCCGCCTGCCGCTCTCCGTCCCTCCTCCTCCTCTGGCACAAGGCCCCCCCCCGGGCCGCGCCAGGCCCGGCCGGCGATCCCGCTCCCTCCGGCCCCGGCCAGGCGGGACGTGTCACGGACCGGACCGGCCGCCGCCTTATCCCCGCTCCCAGCCCAGCGCTCGCTCCTCCTCCCTCCCTCCGGGCTGTTCTCCATGGCCCGCGCCGCAGCGGCGACACCGCCGGCCCGTCCCGCGGCCCCTCCGCCGCCCGCGGGCCACGCACCGGCACCGCGCCCGTCCCGCGGCCTGGTCGCGCAGGCTCCGCCGCAAGC